TTCAGGATGGACTCAAGAGAAACTCTGCCAAGCCTAGTGTCAGGAGGACTGGGTTAGAGAACTTCTGGAGCGGCTGGTCCAGATGCTCTCCACCCCAGGGTGTTGAGGGAATTGGCAGGGGTTATTGCGGGGCCCCTGGCACGGCTTTATGAGCACTTGTGGTGCTCTGGCCAGGTGCTGGACAACTGGAAGAGGTCCAATGTGGTTCCCATCTTTAAAAAAGGGAAGAGAGAGGACCCAGGCAACTATAGGCCCGTTAGTCTTACTTCAATCTTGGGGAAGCTCTTTGAGAAGATTATCAAGGAGCACATCTGTGATGGGCCAGCAGCGGGGATGATGCTCAAGAGCAACCAGCATATTTTCATTAGGGGCAGGTCCTGTCGGACCAACCTGATTGCCTTCTATGATCAGGTCGCAACATTACTGGACGCAGGTGTTGCAGTGGATATAGTCTTTCTAGACTTCAGGAAGGCCTTTGACACTGTTTCCCATCCCATTCTCATTAAAAAGCTAGGCAACTCTGGCATTGATGCTTACACAGTTAGATGGATTTCAAATTGGTGAGGGGTCATACTCAGAGTGGTGGTGGATGAGTCATTTTTGACCTGGAGGGAAGTGGGCAGTGGGGTCACCCAGGGCTTGGTTCTTGGGCCTGCACTGTTAAATTTCTTTATTAGCGACTTGGATGATGGGGTGAAGAGCAGCCAGTTTAAATTCACAGATGATACCAAGATGTGGGGTGAGGTGGGCACGCTAGAAGGGAAGGACAGATTACAGCAGGACCTGGACAGGTTACAGGGGTGGGCAAATGAAAATTGGATGGGGTTCAATACTGACAAGTGCAGGGTGCTGCACTTGGGCAGTAGGAACCAGCAGCATACCTATAGGCTGGGGAACTCCCTTCTCGAAAGCAGGGTGGCAGAAAGAGATCTTGGAGACATTATTGGCTCCAAGATGAACATGGGCCGACAATGCGAGGACACGGTCAGTAGGGCTAACCGTACCTTGTTGTGCATCCACAGATGCATCACAAGCAGGGCCAAGGAGGTGATCCTCCCCCTCTGTGCGACACTGGTCAGGCCGCAGCTGGAGTACTGCATCCAATTCTGGGCGCCGGACTTCAGGAGGGACGTGGACAGCATTGAGAGAGCCCAAAGGAGGAGGGCCACTCGCATGATCTGGGGATAGCAGGGCAGACCCTATGAGGAGAGGCTACGGGACCTTAACCTGTTCAGCCTTCGCAAGAGAAGTCTGAGGGGGGACCTGGTGGCCAGCTATAAACTTAGTAGGGGGGACCAGCGGGGTGTGGGAGAGACCTTGTTCCCCTGAGCACCGCCCAGACTAACAAGGAATAATGGCCATAAGTTGCTAGAGAGTAGGTTTAGACTAGACATTAGAAGGCACTACTTCACAGTCAGGGTGGTTAGTATCTGGAACCAACTTCCAAGAGAAGTGGTGCTGGCTCCTACCCTGGGCGTCTTTAAGAGGAGGCTTGATGTTTACCTGGCTGAGGTCATTTGAGCCCAGTTTTTTGTCCTGCCCAGTGCAGGGGGTCAGACTAGAAGATCTACAAGGTCTCTTCCGACCCTACATCTATGAATCCTACAGTACATGCAGGCATCAGTTCTCTCATGTACTGATGAGGGTATACACTCAAAAACTTGGAGTGCTTTTGACCATGGGTAACAGGAAACCTTTAATTTCAAGATCAAGTAACAGATATACTTTAGTTTAATGGATGGAAAATAGAATTGGGAATCAGGGCTCTTTATCTTGCATCTGATAATGATTCTAGAACTTTTTTTAAAAAGTTCTAGAAAATGGATCTCATCAACCTTCCTTTTCCCTAAATCCTTGCTTTCCTTTTTTCTAAATCTTTGATAACATTATCCAAAGAGGGTCTACACAAGAAAATGATGGTGTGAGTTCAGCATGAACAGGCAGACTCGTCTAACTAGCATGGGTAACTATAATGGTGAAAAAACGGTTTCATGGATTTTAAGTGCAATTGGCATAATAAGAAGGTTCTGGGGAACTCCAAAACCAGACTGCTGATACTAGGCATGTCATTCACAGAAGTATAGGTGTGACGGGCAAGCTCCCAGGCCTGATCTCAATATCGGCCTGCCTCCAGTCTATGGGCAAACTGCCCACCTCACTTTACTGCCCCACCTTGTTGTAAGTAACTAGGATATTAATCAGATGGGAAGCTGCTGTTTGAGCGTCCTTCTGTAATGGGCAATACATACACACTTCGACCTTCCCTTACATGTGTCCCATGCCTCACAGATGTCACACTGTGTGTTAAATTTCCGGTTCAAGGCTGGGCCAAACTGGGCACACGCTGCCCTCACGGGCCACACACACCCCACCCCCCCCTCACTGGGGCCTCTTGCGCTCCACCCTCTCTCACAGGGCCTCTATCACACCACCCTATCTGGGACCACATTCATCCTACCCTGCTCCCTTGAGTGACCCCATAGGGCCATCAGGTTTTGCCCTTCACGCCTTGGCCAGCCCTGGTGCAGCCTTTTGGGCCTCTCCTGCAGCCCTCATCTGAACAGGACTGGGCGCTAATTCAACTATGGGTCTACTTCGCCCCTAGCCCCTCACTGGGCCACTACACCCCTCTCTCCGGCTACTAGTCTGCCCCTACACTAGATCTTGGGGTCTTCCACCCCTACAGGCTCAGGTGCTTCTCTTACTAAGCATGCCTGGCCTCCAGTCCACCCTGTCCACAGGGCCTGGGGTCTTACACCCCTTGGGCTCAGGTGGTCCTCTTTGAGTATGCCTGGCCCACTTCCAGTAAAGCTGCTCCATCACAATAACTCCAACAAGTTATTGCATCTTGTTGCCCATGCTGATTTTATTAAAGCTAAGCCACGTGATGCATTCATATCTTTGGGTGAAGTGGCGATTCACCCCAGGAGTCAGTGGTATGCTAAGAATACAGTTTAGGCTGATATTTGGAAAGCCTTTGAAATTTCAAGAAGCACTATACATTTAAAGGTTGTACATGATTAATTACCGTGTTTTCTTTTTGGCATGGACACCTCTTTGGCCCCATTAGACCTTGTTATGGTTTAATGTAGCTGTTTGCCATATGTGAATGTTATACCATATAACTTAAGGCATATGCGACACATGCCACTGGTTCTGCCTGCTAGATCTTATTCAGATTAACAAATACAATTCCTTTGGACTGGTACAGTTTGCTTGTTGTCTCCTCTGTGCAGGGACTTGCTCTTTTATTCCTAACTTCGTTCTATTGTCATCTTTTTAAGCATCTGGCAACACTGGTTTTGCTTAAATATTTTTATTATATGGTTGATAATTAAAATGTTTGCTGCCAAGGACACAGTGAGCTCCTCAGTGTCCAAGGGGACAGGAATGTGCAGCTCATTGGAGAGTAGGGGTGAGTAGGAGGTGGGTGGAGCCTTACCTGTTCCTGCTCTCTTCACTAAATTGGCAGCTGCTACTGTGGTGGCAGTTGCTGTAGCAGTACAGGCTCCAGTTGCTGCCACTGGGGCACTGGCTCACTGCATACCAGCTGCAGCAGCCCTGTAGCATGGGTTTCCTGAGAGCTGGTCCTGGTGTCCTTTTCACTCCTCCTTCCTGCCCAGGTACATTTAGGTGCAGGGCTATGCCTGCCATGGCAAAAATGCTTGCTGGAGGTTGGGGGGGGAGGCGGGCTGCCATTCAACTTGGCCCATTGCCCTCCAGATACACTACTAAGAACTTGCTGGTTCCTAGGCAGCACTGGGCTTTTAGGGCTAGGCAAAGCTTCAGTCCCTGATTTTGATTTGGCAGAGATTTGGCCCGATTCAGTGGCCGAATCTACAAATCCAGATCAAATCGGGAGACCCTTGAATCTCTCTGAATTGAATCGGAACCCTCTGAATCGATTCAGCAATTCGGACGTAGATACAGCCTTAAATGTTTTTTCAACATGCTTCAGGGTACCAGGTGGCTTGTGAATGCTGCAGTGCTGGGGTGGTTGGAGTGTCCCACAGGAGCGCGGGGGGCTCCCCAGCACACTCAGCAGCAGACCCAAAAGTGGACCAGCTCAGTGCCCTGACTCGGCAACTGAAATCTCTTGGGTCTGGGAGTTGGAGGGCACAGGGATCCCCTCCGTGCACTCTCCGGTCCACCTCTGGGTTTGCTGGTGAGCACACAAGGGGGCCCCCTGCACTCCTGTGGGACATTCCATCCATCCCAGCATCACAACGTTCACAAGCTGCGCTTGGTACCTTGAGGTATGTAGAAAAAAACATTTAAAGTTATGTCTATGGCCGAAGCGCCGATTCTCCGAATCGGCATCGAATCTTCAGATTCGGATTTGGCTGAATCAAATTGGGATAGTGATCCAGATCAATGAATCAAATCACTGTCCCTGATTTGGACTGAATGCAAATCAAATATGGCCTGTTTTGCACACCCCTATGGGCTATTCCTGATGTGACAAAGATTCCTGTGGCAGGAAGAGGAGGTAATTTTGGTGTTCCTCTCTAAGATGGTCATTCTCCTGGAGCAACCATTTTTACTCTGGGAGTGAAATCCTGAACTTTTGTATGCCTGTGATTTCTTCTGGGATAGCATAACTCTCCTAGGAGAAACTGAAAGTCTGTACGTGGCCTAAATCAACCCAAGTAAGGTAATTCACGTAAGGAAACGAGGGTAGTAATTTGCAGGATTAGGCTGTTCCTAGGTATCATAAAGAAAACGATTACAACCTAAGGTAGCTGTTAATGCAAAGGTATGTCTATCTGCATATCTTAAGTATCTCTGAAGTGTACCTGACTTGCTAGTTCCCCAATTTTTGTTGGTTTTTTTTTTTTTTAATTGATTTAAATATATATATAATATATCTGCTTGCTAACATTTTGCTTATAGACTTGTTTTCATTTTAAAGTGAGTCCTATGGCCATACAATGAAACCAGTAGCTGGATTTTAGTGTTACCAGACAGAAGTAAACAAAATATATCATTTTTTTTGGCAGGCAAAAACTGGGATTTGACTGCTGCTTTGAATGACTATGAGCAGCTTCGACAGGTACACACAGCCAGCCTGCCGCAGGTGTTTAATGAAGGGAAGTACTACAAACAGCAGGAGAGAGAGCAGCCCCAACAGGTGAACAAAGTTGAACGACCATGTCTACAGAGACAGGATGACATTGCTCAAGGTAACTGCAGCTGTGTAATGGACTACATCGATAAACAGCTTTCTAGACAAGCAAAGCAGGGAGTAGGAGCTACTACTGTCTGTCACCATGTAAATTATACCAGAGTATTTGGATTTCCAGAGGTGCTAGGTTGGACCCTGTAGTCACTAATTTTCAGTTCTGTTGACCTTTGCCTCTTTTCATAGATTTTTAATGTGTCATTAAAGCATTCAAGTTTAGAGACTGTCTAATATTAGCCATGGAGTGCATAGATTAGAGGAGTCATACAGCATTCTTCTCTTTCATTTCCTTTGATACGTGGGACCAAAGAATGGTCCATAATTTGTAGTCATTGCCTTTTTTTAAATCTTTATTAAATGACAAAGGTGGCAGTAGCAGGGGCATCTGTTGAATAACTTTTATCATGGGAATGTCTTATTTTCTATTACAGTTCCATACAAAAAAATAACTGATATTGTATTTGTATTTTGAATAAAGCAGCCTTAAAAATAGAAAGGAAGGAAAGGGAACAGTTAGCAGTCATATCAGTTCATTTCCATTATGTGATCAGCTTTAAGATTTTTCTTTTTGTATTCATATTGCTGTAGCTATTGCAACAGGTATCTTCTACTTGAATTCAGTAGACAGTTGAGATTTACATAAAAGTAAATCTAAAGCCTGCCAGCTTCTCATGTAAAAATGTAACTAGACCTCTCTCTCTCACTGATGTGTAGCAGAAATTTGTGTCCATGGAATCCATCCAGGTGTAGCTCATGCTTGGTCACAAAGGATTGGAGAACAGATCCTCAGCTAATGTAAATTGTCAGAGTTCAGTTGGCTTCTACAACAGCAATCACAATTCCTGCTAGCTGAGGAACTGCCTCAAGGAGTTCTGGTGTAATACTGCCTTCTTGTGAGGGAAGGGTATAGGAAGAGAAAGTGTCCTTTTATTTTCTCAATAATTGTCTTGGCCAACAAAAAGAAAAGCCAGACAACAGAAATATGGGTTGACTGGGACAAAACTTTATTAAGGAACTCTTGGGCAGTAATTCTTCCGGTGCAAGTGACCCGTCCTTCATAATCTGTGCCATTTGATATAGGGCTGTGTCAATTACCAGGCCAAACTTCTGTTGCTACAATAATATTACCCTCCTCTTGAATGAAGGGTATGAAAGTGGATAAGAGGGAGTTATCTTCTTGCTATTGCAAGTATTAGTAGCTCCCACTCTGTTCCCTAGGAAATGCCTTGTCATAATCCATTTCCAATTCCCTTATCATGGAGCCAGAGTGCTGTTAATCGGTTACCTCTCTCTCAATTATATTTACATCACCCAGAACAACAAATACTGAAAAGTAAAATAGCATATTTGACAAATAGGAAGCACTTGCATTGTGCATTTTTAAGAATTCTTTCTATAGTCATTTTTTTTTTCTATCAGGAGTAATAGTGTTGGAGTCCACAGGCTTCATTTTTTGGGAGCCCATACATTTTTTCCTGCCCACACGTGATTCAAGATGCTTGTGTTTTGCACACATTTTCACAAATTTATTTGTATCCAGTAATGAAAGAAAGCAATGAGTAACAGCTCAGAACAATGCAAAAGTGCATGGCTAATTTAAGAGATATTGTTAAAAGAATATTAAGTATTGCTTAGTATACCAGGCAGTAACACACAGTTAGAAACTTGACCATTAAAAAGTAAAAAATCCACTTCAGAGCTGTTTCTTTATTCTGCTTCCATTTCCCCTTTGCCCTTTTTGTTACTGCTTTTGCTATCTGCCTTTTCATTTGCTTATAAAATGACACAGGAGTTCAAAGTTTCTCTGGAATAGCCTGTGTGTGTGTGTGCATGTGCATGCATAAATGTGTGTGTGCACGTGCAAGAGAGGGGGAGAGAGATTATTTATGGTACCCATAATGGTACCCACTTGCTTTACTTTTTTTTTTCTTGCCAGCTCCTGGTCTCTGATATTTTATTGCTGAGTTTCAGAGTTTCTTTACTTTCTGTTTTTCTTTTTTTTTTTAAACATTTTAATCATTTTATCTGATCCAATAACTCCTTATCCAAGTATTGGTAGGGCTAAATCAATGTGTGATATTGACTTTCTTTCCCCTCATCCATTTCTCATTTTTTGTTAATTCTATCATGTTTCTTTTATTCAGTTCCTCTGTAAAGGGACACTGTGTTTTCAGCATCTCTTCATACAAATGTCTCTGCGCTTCAGATTTTTAATTTTTTCCCCCCTAGTCTTTTGACTTGCTCTATTTCTATTATTCGGGAGATAATGTTTCAAGAACAGTCAGTGAAGGTGTTACCTGAGTATGGAATTATTATAATAGTATTTTTAGTATTGCTTTCTATCCCATTTTCTGTACGTTTTGAAGTCCTGTTTTACTGATCATTTCACTGCACCTTGAGAAAATAATGTTCACTGACCTGTCAATACTGACATCCAAGTCTTCCCTAAGACTAATAAAGTGTGCTAATAATTAAAGCTTTTGGTTTTAAGCCAGGTACAGACATTACATTTCTACCAGTAGTTGTGATTGGAAACTGGTCTATACTGTAACAGAACAAAAGTTTAGCACACAAACCTGGTCTATACTTGTAACAAAACAGAAGTTCAGAACACACAAACTTGTTTAAAAATGGCTAAGTTTTGGTATAGTTTTGCACCCCTCCCCCCCACTAAAGGGCAAATATGTGATCTGTTTGCTATGAATCTAAACTACACTGCTTAAAGAAAACCATGTCACTTAGATAAATTCCATCTCGGGCTTTTTGAATGTCTGTACCTAGCCTTAGTGTTTTTAGTTATCTTCTCTTTGTCTCTAAAAGGGTTTTTGCTTTTGATAAAATAATGTACTCTGGTGAAAAAAAATAGACATGCTAGATGTGCATTATTACTTGCATCAAGATTTCTAGAAAGAACCTGTCTTTAAATCTGAACAATGGTACTGAGATTACTTCTGAGTTGAGTTTTTGAAATTAAAACATAGTAATGTGAGGGGATAGTTATATTCTAGATTTCATTTGACCCATAAAAAGTTAACCTAACTTCAGAGCATGAAATATTTAATAGTTATGATCTGTCTTCTGTAAATATTCCTTCAAATAAGTCTTAAGGAACACATGTTCTCTCTCAAACCAGTTTATAGAAATACTTCATTCACAAATCATTACTTAAAATATTAGTTTGTCCAGCAAGAAACGAATCACAACCAAATTCATCTTCAGTGGCTAAGACTCGAGGGCAGGGACTGTGCATTCTTTTGTGCTTGGAAGTGCCCAGAACAGTAGAAATAAACAAGAATAATAATTCCTCAAATGAAACGAATAGAGGCACGTCAGGGTTGAGCTTTACTGACTCACAAAATAGCATAAGAAAGACTAAGATGGGTGGAAAACATTCTTTCTGTTATTATATTTCAGTTCAGCTATTGCCTTTCACTTGCCTATTAATAAATTGAAGAAATAATTGTCTTTACATTGTAACATGCTTAGTTGTGCTTTTGCCTTCCGTAATATCAGTTTGGTTTCTTCACAGAGAAACGACTCTCCAGAGGTATTTCTCATGCCAGCTCAGCCATAGTCTCCCTTGCTCGATCACATGTAGCAAATGAATGCAGCAATGAACAATTTCCTTTGGAGATGCCCATCTACACATTCCAGCTACCAGATCTTAGTGTATACAGTGAGGATTTCAGAAGCTTCATTGAACGTGACTTAATCGAGCAGGCAACAATGGTTGCTTTGGAACAAGCAGGTGGGTAAATACTTTAGATGTTAGCAGCTGGGTGATCTGCCATTTGGATTGACAGTCTTTAATCACTCTTCATTACTGGACTTGGCACATCCTGCCTCAGCAATAAATGCAAGAGAGCAAAAGCAAATAGCGCGCTCTTAGTACTACGATGCTCAGCTCTCTGCTCCATTTCTGTTAGGGCTCTACTGTGATTAAAGAAAGCTGGATTAATAAAATAAGGAAACTGAGAGAGGTGAAGAGGGTGAGGGAGCTGTACAATTGCTAAGGCAGGTGAGGCTGGTTTGGTGCCAGGGCAAAAGACAGAGAGCTGTATCCCATTATAGCTGCATCCAGATGAGTGCAGCCATGTGGTATGTAATACCACAGATGTGTCTGTGGTACCACATACTGCACATTCAGCTGTTCTCCACACTGCAAGGGAGCAGCATGGTGGGGGTTTGCAAAAACCATGCAAAAAAAAAAAAAAAAGCAGAATGATGCGTGTGGGGGCAGTGCATGCTGCTCAGAACCAGAGCCTGGCTGGCTAGAGCCACACTCCAGCTGCCGGCCAGGCTCTAAGCAGCAGGATCACCACTGCTGTAGCCCCAGGAGCACCCCAGGATCCCAGGTAATGCTGCTGGGGCCAGCCCAGTGCTGGCTTCAGCCTTCCCTACCCCACCTGGGGTAACCTGCCATGTCCCTGGCGAATGCCTGTCCCATGTACCCTCTGGTACAAGTAGCGGTTGCACAGGGTGTGTCACTGCTTCTTGTCCCCAAGGAACCAAATGTCCATACGTGCATGGACAAGGCCTATATGTCAGCAGGTTAGCATCACTTATGATCCTTATGCCTTAGTTTCCCCATTTATAAAATGGAAATAAGTTTACTTACTATGAAAAGTGTTTTGGCCCTTAGAGATGAAGAGGGTTATATAATATCTAGGTATTTTATATAGGAACTAAATTAATCCTACCTTTAAAAGATGTTAAATTTTATTCAAACCTGGATAAAATAATCCAAAAAAATTAAAGTATCACTTTTAAGTTATACATTTTATAAACAAGAGAATATGAGGCAATAGTCAGATATCCATGTCCTGCTGCCTATCAGTCAAAATACTCATGGAAACATGATTATCTTTCAGTAGAGTTGCTACCAACTTCCATTTTGTCTGTTTACCATGTAGCATTGGCGTGGAAAGTTGGTTTGGTCTGAAAAGTGCTGGGTTTCGTCTTAAGGCAAGATCCAGTGTTCCCTCTATAGTATGAAGGAAACTCCACCACATGCTTTGAGTTATGGGTTTGTACTCAGTCTTTGAGGTAGTTTTGGCTTTTACCAATGTTCTTTTTTCTTGTTGTTTCCCCTCAATTTGCAGTTACACCTTGATCAGACATGGTGTATAAATTTAAAGAAACTTATAGTGCTAGAGGCAAGGATTTCTCAGGTTGATATCTTGTATTGTGTTATGGCTACGACATCACGTCAGTGCTAGGAAACAGGTTGTAATAAAGAAAAGTTATTAACATTGTTGAGTCTTATTATGAACCTCTACTTTCGTTGGGCAGTATGTTTTGACTCCTGCCCTACTGATGTCAGTAGGAGATTTTTGCTATTAACTTTGGCAGAAGGAGATTTGAGTTAGGGAAATGGTACTGCACAGCCACACAACTAGTGCAGAGGAGTCATAGAGGAGGCAGCGGGCCCCTACTGAATACCCTCTTACAGAGAGGTCCTTTCTGCCACGTGTAGAGGCAGCCCTCTGCCACCTCCACTGAAGCTGCCTGTGCACTGAGTGTTCTGGGTGAGGGCTAGCAGATGGAGCGAGCAGATGGAGTTTGGAGGAAGTGTGAGCAGGACTCAGTCCTGCACTCCAGCAGTTCACCATCGCTACAGTGCTTCTAGGAGCTTTGTGGAGCTCTGAGAGCTACCTTACTTGGCTTGGCCCCAGCAACCTCCAAAGTGAAAAGGAGCAAGTCCCTCACCCCTAGTCCCTGAATGAACTCAGCAGTGTACGTGTGTGCAAGCACGTTGCCTTGCCCTCTGTTTGCCAATTACATATTAGAAAGAACATAAGGGTGTTTCTGTCATTTAAAACAATCTTCTTTTTGTTCAAGTAGCAGAGGGCTTTGTTTTTGGAGAGAAAGGACCAGAAATCTTATTCCAGTTGTGCCAGGTGCATGTTGCTTGATTATTACAACAAAGCAACTCTTACACATTTTCACAAAAGTGGGGTTGTTTTCATTTTTTTCTGCCTAGTCTGTCTGTGGCATTTTGCAGATTCCCAAAAGCAGGGTGATAGAGTTGTAGCTGTGAACGCCCCAAAAGTTAAAGCTGTAGCTATGAACATCAAGGGCCAGCATTTTGTCAGAGGTCCCTGCATCTCATTCTTCAAAACTCCTTCTACCTGATATCATTCTCTGGTTTTGTTAAAATTTAGAATAAATTGCTCTACTGGTCACAATAAGAAAGTTTCTTATTCAGTAGTCTTTCTTTGACTTAAGTGAAATATCAGGATCAAATTAACAATGTCTCTTATTTTTTCCTAATGTTAATCTGTCATCAGTGAATATACTCACACAATGAGAGGCAAAAATTTGTGTGGGTGATATCTTTTATTGTATCAACTGCATGGTTGAGACTTAGACAAGCTTTTGGAATCATAGTACCCTTCTTCTCATATTCCTGGATCATCATGGCAACAACATCAGTTCAACACTACCTGTAACCACACAAGACTTTTTCATTTCTGAAATATTTTTTGCCAGTTTGGGTAGGTTTATCCCCAGGATTTTAAAGGGTGCTTTTCCATGGATGATTAGTGTAACATTTTCTTCTTCCTTCCCTTCACTAAAAAGTCTATCGTGCTTGATTTGCTGCCCCTCAGTTTTACAGAGTGATGAACATAGCAGCCTGCCATTTAAAAATGTTCAGAAAACCATCTGTTAAAATATGGAATTAATTGATTCCACTAAGAGGTATAGCAGAAAGATTGCTTAGAATAAAGCCATGACTATAAAGAAATACTAAGTCAAAATTGAGGTTATTCTCTTTTATGGGACATTTAACATAATATATATTAAACATGTTCTTAATACAAGCAGTCCTCGGACTTATGACACAATTGGTTGCTGAAAACCGCGTCTTAACTTGAAACGTCATAACTCGGAACTGATTTTCTCATAGGAAGCAATGTTATAAATGGGGGATTGGTTCCTGAACCAAGGCCCAATACCCTATTTTCACCAAAAATAACCCAGAATTTTGTGCTCAGTTAATTATAGATGAGTAATATAGCTACATTAATATATTTATATTGTAAGTAGCAACCATATTGATTTGGAAGGACTTCTTTGAGGTGACTTTGCTGGACTTTTTGAAGGGCTCTTGGCTGGAGTCTTCTCAGGAGTCTTGGCTGCAGGTTTTTCAGGAGTATCATCTGCTTTCTTAAAGAAAGTGTCCAAGGAAGTTTGGACAGATGTTCTCCAGGGAGATGAGTGACGCAGCGAACTTGTTTGCTGGTGTGGCGTGGTGTTGGATCAAGCATGGTGAAGTTGAAACTGACATCAGAAAGTTGAAACAGTGTCAGTTTATAAACATTGCAACATTTTGCACTTACAACTCGAAATGTAAGTCAAGGACAGCCTGTATAGTGACTTATTTTAAACCGCTGTGTTTTTATGTAATATGCAGCTATTGGTTAGAGCTGTGGTTCTTAAACTTTTTGGACTTGAGGTACCCTTCATTGGATTCGAGGCACTCCTCCATAACTTTGTGAACTGAGTGGCACCCAATTTCTCAATTAAGTTGTATATTATAATGCTTGCTTCCTTGCAGGGAGGGGAGGTAGTATGTGTCGGGTATCATCCAGGCAGGGACAAGCATGAGCATGGACTTATCAGCTTAACTTATCAGCTTATCCCCTCATACCACACTGATTTCCCTACTCATTGAGGTACCCTTGAGAGGACCTGGTTACACCCTAGGGTAGGGGTATTTTGGCCGGAGTGCCGAAAAACACCACAACGCCTACCTCGGAAGGAGCTGGAGTGCTGGCATGGCAGAAAAACAAGATGAGGGCAAGGGGTACATGGCAGGATGCCCTGCTTGTGCCCTTTGCCCCCCACCCAAAGCCCCTGCCCCCCAGTCTATCCCGAGGTGCCCATGCAGTCACTGCCAGCACAAAGCTGATGCTGGAGCTGTGCAGCCCAGTGGAGCTGTTTGCACTCTGCCCAATGCTTGCTGCAGCTGCCCAGAGCCTGGACTGGCTCCAAACAGCTGCGCCAGGCTCATCACCTCCGTGCTGGGAGCGGGGGAGAGACCAGGGCTGCGCAGCATCAGGCCCCTCCCCCACCACCCCCTCCAAGGCGCACCTGCACACACCAGTGCAGAGCTGGTGCCGGAGCCTGGCACAGCTGTTTGGAGCCTCTCAGCTGCAGCTGGCCCCGGATCTGGGGAGCTGCTGCCAGCCGGGATCCCGGGCTGCTCCCAGCAGGCAGCTGGGATGCTGCAAGCCCTGCTGGGAGCAGCCTGGGCTCCGTTGCTAGCAGCAGCTACCCGGAACCAGAGCTGGCCGCAGCATGCCAGGCAAAATGGCCTTGCGTGCCAGGGGTTGCCGACCCCTGCCCTAGGGTTACCCAGTACCCTAACTGAAAATCACTGAATTAGAGGGAGGCCAGAACTGGAAACCCAAATCCATACTTTACAGGCTTTGAGGGCTGTTTTAAAATCCAGATAGAAAACTAGATCCACATTTTATGATTGTATATGCCTAAACCATTGATGTCATTGAAATTTGGTGTAAGTTTATGTGAAATTGAGTACAGACAAATGTATATTTGTCTCAATTTCTGAAGGGGAGGGGAAGCTGGTACTCGGGAACATGGAGAAGCTATTACACTTTAACTGTCACTCCTCCAGGACCTGAGGAAAGGTATTTTATACCCAGAAGTGGAGGTGAACCAATACATCAGTCTGGTATTAGATCAGCACCGATATAGAGAAAATTTAGTGTATAGGAAATC